TCATTATTGGAGAACATCCATTACATTTCTACTTAAAAAATGTATTGAGACCCATGTAAACCTAGCCTTAGGGATTGGCAAGGTTATTGTGAATTATAATTTTTTTATCGATAATATCGATTATGTCAGGTATGCAAACAAAGCGGTCTATTGTGATTGAAACCAACTCATACATTTTTGTTGATGCTATTACGCTATTAATTCACAATTGCGTGCATTTTGGCAATTGCTCTGTTCCAGAACTGCAAGAATGTAAAATTTTTTACAACGATAACCAATTTTCCATTTATGATATCGAAAAAAATTTCAAAAATAGTAGATTCTTGTAGGTTCTGAAATAAATCATATATCATGGTAGAAGAATACAGGTAGTCGCATCGACACAGCTACTGGGACAATGAACTGTCAAACTAATTTTGGAAGTGAACATTTAATGAAATTTATAAAATCTATTAAAAAATGCATATCCATAATAACCTCCGATTGGCTTCGTATAAGAAAAAAATATAAAAATCTACGTAATTTTGAAAAAAATTTGAAATATCAATGTTCCCAAGCGTTGATGCTGATCTACCTGTATTCTTCTACCATATATTTTGGCAATACAGGGGATATTAGCTGGTCTTATCGTATGACTTAATAATAGACAGGTCGTGGTAGAAGAATATAGGTAGACGACATCGACACAGCTGTTGGGACAATGAACTGTCAAACCAATTTAGAAATTGAGAATTTTGGAAAAATTATTCAAATTCGTTAAAATTATTGGGGTCGTATAAGAAAATGTGTACAAATCTACTTATTTTGAAAAAAAAAAAAAAACATTTTAAAATATTTGACATATCTATGTTCCCAAACGTTGATGCGTCTACCTGTATTCTTCTACCATGATATGTAATGTCAAATTCTCCATTTTAGAATTGCACACATCGTGTGATACATGGACGAAATTTCAGTTCAGTTCAATTTCAATTTTGACATACACAAGGAAATACGCATGGATAATAAAAGCAGCATATATGTAAAACCCTTATAATCAGCTGGCTCTGACCAGCTGGTTTCAGCCGAATTGTATAAAAACGTAAACAAACACTTTGACATTATGAGGTTTTTTATTGTGATTTACACGAACTGTCTATGGGCCTTGCTTCAGACTATGGCACATCTATTAGGTAAATCGGTAGTACCAGCCGTTTTCACCCGTATTGTCAAAATACATGCCATTGTAAATTAAACCTATGAAACACTTTGACATTATGAGGGTTATCCGATCACATTTGTAGTTTTTTTATTGTGGCGAACACGACCTGTTTAATGGGTCTTGCTTCAGATTATAGCACAATCAATAGGCATCGAAGTTGTCAAAACACTTATTGTGAATGGAATCACAGTACGAAAGATAAACAAAAATTATGCAAAACGTCAAAAGCATTTGACATTTACTCTGATTGGTGTAACACCCTTTAATTCCGCCATGCACCACACTATCAAAATCTGATAAAAAAAATCTTATTTCCTATTGTGAACGAAAATACCGTACGAATAGTGAAAACGTAAACAAATTCTGAAATTTGGTCTGAGTCATGGCCTATCTATAAGGACATCCGACAAGACAAACTGATTTCACCCGAACTGTCAAAATGCACTCTATTGTGATTTAAAAGTATGAAAACGTACACAAACTTTTTGGCAGTAATTTAAACTACCTCTTTAATGGACCTTGGTCTAAATTTATGGTGAGAAAACATAAAACGCTTTTTTGACTATCTTAAGTCAACGGCTGGCTTCTTCGGAAAATATCAATTAAGCGGTGGGTCAATATTGAACTAATTCAACCTAAAACTCTTTTGTTGCTCTACGAAGAAGCCAGCCTTTGACTTAAGTTGTTTAAAAAAGTGTTTTATGTTGCTCACCTTTAAAGTATGAACCATGAGAAACCTTAAGCATTCCCAGCTCTGTATTTTTCTATAATTTACCTTGTCAAATTTAAGTGCATTGAAAACAGGTTCCCATCTCTGATTTGTGTTTATAAAAGGTTGTGCAGTTTGCTGTCAAAGGATACAATTGTGATTTGAAATTAACAAAGAGTCAAATCACAATAGTGTAAAAACTATTAAGTTTATTGTCAAAAGTAATCTTCTTTGCTGGCCTTTGAATGGATTTATTAATTTAAATTTCGACAATGAGATGTTGTCAAATGTCAATAAGAAAATTTTGAAAAAAAAATATGTAAACATATGACTGCATGACTTTACCTTCTTAATTCTACCATAAATTTAATATTCACAATAAATTTAATGCATGTTTTCCATAGCCAAAATTATTGTGATTTTATCATAATTAACGCGCATAAATGTTTTTTCCGAAAATTAGATTATCCATCCACCGTCAGAAAAAAATCTCCCCTACCAAAAATAAGATTAATGCAAAAGGGCTGTTCCAGACCTGCAAGGATGTAAAAATGTTTGCTACGGTAATTGATTTTCCATTTATAATATCGAAAAAATTGGAAAATTGGTAGATTCTTGCAGGTTCTGGAACAGAGCAAAAATTGTCCCTTATTTTCAAACACAACAAATGTTGAATACCTCAAAAAATGTTATTCGGCCCAGTCGAATATTACAAAACAACACACACACACACTTATTTCTGTATCATTTATTTTTAAGAAAATAATATTCCATAAATTAACCACAAAAAAATTGCAATATTTACACATAAAACAAATTATTTCAAAGTTAAGCCAAAATAATAATGATTTTGTAAAATATTCTTTAATAATATATAAAATTATTTTAAAAAAGGAAATTTTATGATCAACTTTGATGTCATGAAAGGACAAGTTTAATGTTTGCGTATAAAAACATTTATTTGTTTTAAAGCCTAAGACATCGATTTCTTCCAAGTATCCTCCCAAAGCAACTCGAATCTCTTTGTAGATAAACAAAACATTTTGTAATATTTAAAACATTCCTTAACAAAGAGTTGTTATTTTTTTCTACATAAATTTTATCTCTTTAATTACAAAACAATTTCCTTAATATTTCTTGCTCAATTTAATATTATACAAACTCTATATAATCTTACATAAATATATATATATATATATATATATATATATATATATATATATATATATATATATATATATATATAAACATAAAATATACATCTATATATATAATATTTTATTTACACAATATCATCATCACACATGATAAACGAAAAGCTTTAGCTGTATTTTAAATTTTTAAGAAATGAAATGACAAAAGAGAAAAGAAAAACAAATTAATAATTTAGTGTTTTTTATATAACAAATTAAAAAAAAATAATATATTATACAAATTTATTTATTGTGCAACAAAAAGAAAAGAAAGACAATTTAATAGTAAATTTATAATAAAAAACAAAAAAAAATATGTAAACCAATTTGTGTTTTATTACAAATGTTTAGGTGTTACTTTGATGGTGGTATCCTTGTGAACGTAGCTTTAGATATTAATTTGAGTCACTTAAGTTTTAAAAAACAATTACCGTTATTACGAATGTCACTTACAACTGTTGTGTACTGTACAAAACACCAAATTCTACAATTCACAATAGTTAATGTATTGATTTGTATAACCCTACAGAAGTCACTTATCGATTTCCATGTCCCTAAAAAGGCAATAGAGCCAAAAAAGCCAAAAAAATTATGAGCCAAACTTTCTTTTGTAGTTTCTCCAGTATCGCCAGTATCATGGCCTATTTGAAGTTAACCAATCCGAAAATTAACCCTATAGTATGGAGCATGGTAGAAGGATATAGGTAGACGAGTCGATACAGTTGCTGGGACAATGAACTGTCAAACCAATTTTGTAATTGAAAATGTTGAATGAAAAATTATTTAAATTTGTGCAAATTCTTGAAAAATGCATATCATAACAACCTCCGATTGGCGTCGTATAAGAAAACTGATAAAAATCTATTTATTTTTGAAAATAAATTAAAAATTTGTTTACATATCAATGTTTCCAAGCGTTAATGCATCTACTTGTATTCTTCTACCATGGTATGGCGGGTATATTAAGTTTGTTATTCCATTTGTAACACCTCGAAATATACATTACACAAAGTATATATAGTCTTGATCAGCATAAAATTCTATGTCGATTTAGCGATGTCCGTCCGGAAACCATTCTAGCTCCCGAACGAAATGAAGTAGGTTGATAAAATGTTAATCAACAAAGGAGTTTTAGGTTGACTTAGTTCGATTTTGGCCCTAGGCTCCTTTGTTCATTTCCGAAGAAGCCAACCGATTACTTAAACCAGCCAGATAAGCGCTTTATGTATTCCCACGTTTAAGGTGGAAGCATGGTACAACAAAAAGGTAAGATAGACCTACCTAGACCTAAGATAGACAAGTGTGCCCGACTTCTGCCAAGTTTGTGTATGTATTTATTGTTTTGAAAGATAAAAACAAAATATTTTTATAATTAATGATTTGAAGAAACGTACATCACGGGACGCGCATCGTAGATATTCGTCAGATTTGCCATGGAATGGAAAGATAGAACTGTTAAGATATATTTTTTGAAAGGAATTCCAGGCATTTCAATCATTCTTCGCTCTGATTAATTGATTTAAAAAAGTAGAAAAATATTAATTGAATGAAAACAACTTGTTTGCATGCAAACTTGACAGGATGCGGGCATATCCACAGGGCTGCATTTCTGTAGTTTTGCGAAGCTCCTCCTTATTGTACCATGAGTGGAAGTACATGAAAAGCTTGAAGTCATGGCTAGGCATATTAATGTCAAATTATAATGGAAAACGACGGCAGGATTTTATTGCGGCTCTGTAATCTCTTTATGAAATGTCACAAAATATACCTAGCCATGACTTCAACCCTTTTATGTACTTGCACCTTTACAGCCTTATTTATTTAAAATTTTAAAGTTTATTTGTCCTTTTTTATTTTCTTCATTTTCCTTTTATTATTAAATAATATCACATTGGCATCATAAAATGATTCAAATTGATTTTCTACAATTTATTATTAGCTGTCTTTATAATTATTACTGTGCCTCCACCGCGTTTGGAACGTGTAAACGAATCCACCAAAGATGAGTCCTGTTGTTGTGGCTCGACGGAAAATAAAGGCTGCGGAATGAAAAGATTTTTCAGATTTCAAACATATACATAAAACCATGGTAGAATTAAGAAGGTAAAGTCATGCAATCATATGTTTACAATTTTTTTTTTTTTTTTTCAAATTTATTCATTTGACAGCAACTCATTGTCAAAATTTATGTTCATAAATCCATTGTATACACAGAAATCAGAGATGGAAATCAGAGAGATTCAGTGAAACTTGAGGAGCTAAATCACAGAAAATGCAGAAATGGATAGTCGTATTTGAAATGACTTTACCTTCTTAATTTTACCATGCATAAAACTATAATCTTACCTCAGAATCGGGTGTTTCTATGGCAAAGGAGTCTCCATGAATTGAGCGAGCATAGCACTGCAGTAAATAAACCGGTTATAGAATGAAAAAAAAAAAATAGTTATATATATTTTTATTACCTGTGCCACCACCAAAAGTACAACTAATACCACAATGAGTTTCATTATTTCAAGCTTAGATTGATTTAGAGAATAACACGGAGTAATTGAATTCGATTTGCTTTTATAGCAAAAATGTATTTCTTATCACTTCTGACTAATCACAACATGCTTAAATGGACAATTTTGTAAATATAGGTCAAATGTTACAAACAGGAAAGGGGAATTTTTTGAATGGGCTTTTTTTTACAAATTTACCATTGAAATGTGGAACCTGTAATAAAAGTAAGTGCGTTGTAAATGAGTTTTTTTGCGAATAACACAGTCTAATCTGAAAATTAATAAAATTGTATTAAGAGCACCTCTTCTTCTTTTAGAAATAAACCTGATTGAGCCTGATTTGCTCTCTGAATTGTTCAGTAAAGTTACTTCCAGGAAAGACTTGAAAATTAGTTTTATTTGTATGTTTAACAAAAAAACCCTTAAGACATTTTAATAAGATTAAAAAGTAAAAAAGCTGTAAAAACACGATCATTTTGATTGTTTTCAAACTGCTGGACAACGAATGTTTTCTCCAAATTCAGCAGTCCAACCCTTTCGGCCAACCGAAGCAACTCTCTCTCTATTTTTGAGTCTATTTTCTTTCCGTTGCGGTGTAAGTTCTTGCACTATTTTGAATTTCAATGGCTTTTCCCGAGTTCATTTTTCAATATATGCCGAATGGAATATTGCGATATATTCAGCTCACGAGCCATTTCTTGGCCACTGCGACGCGGGCTTCGATCAAATCGCTTCTTTACTTTTCGAACCATTTCTGCTGATGTTGCTGTTTTCTTCCGTCCATTTCCTTGACGTCGGGGGGCTACGTTACCAGTATCACGGTAACGAGCGATGGTACGAGACACAAAAGATTTATTCACATTTAAATGCTACAGGGCTCTAACGATAGCCACTTGTGGTTTTCCAGCCAAAAATATAAAAAAATCACACTATCACGCTTGAATTCCATCACGAATGACTTTTTTTCTGGAAAATTCTCACCAAAATGCTTTTGTACGCTTTTAAACAATATAATGAGATGTCACTGGAATAATTTTAACAGCTGTCGGACGAGTGGATTAGAAATGACAGCAGTCGGAAGTTGGTTGCAGTTTTTTCCTCTCACCCTGTACAATTCAAACAGTGTTGGAAGTGTTCATTCTTTCAATTCCATGGCAAGTCTCGTTTATAATATTAATGAGCGCAAATTAACTTTCTTCCAATCACAGATTTTGAAAATATTTTGTTTTTATTTTTCAAAACAACAAATACATAGACAAAAATTACAGAAATCGGGCACACTTAGAAAAAAATTGTAATCAGCTAAGAGCTCTACCTTACCTTTTTATTGTACCAAGAATTTGATACATAAATAAAAAACATTTCGTCTAATAGAGCCTTAATGATTGTTTCAGCTGATTGCGCTGTCCTTATGTCTAATTCGTTAACAAAGTTTCTCGGTGTTATGCATTACACACATTCGTAAACAACATAGCCTCCCTTTTGCTTTAATTTTTTATTGGGTTTTATGTTTTGTCTTGTTATTTGTTTCTCTGGGGACGTTTTTTATTTTGGTTTGCTACTCGTCTCAACTCCGTGGTTATAATAAGATTCCACAAATTAAACAAATTAAGCAAATAAATAACTAAATGCTATGCACTCACATAAAATATACGGCAGGATTTGTAGGGTGTGTATGTTCAATAAGAAAAACATGTTCAATACCCAATCGACGAGATATGAAGAATCTGATTTGACCATTGAGGAAATGCTTTTACAAACCACACCACAACTGTTAGAAAAACAAAAAATACACCTATTTCCGGTGCCGCAGGAAATTTGCAAAGGATGTATGGATCAGTTATTTAAAACTTTTAAATTCCAAAAGCTATGTCTGACCACACATGAAATGCTATATAAAACGTGGTCAGCGTCAGTATTACGTGGGAGGGGGAACTTTTCCCAATCTGAAGTGCCCGTTGGGGAAAATGGAAGTGATACAGGGAACAACATTGAGACTGATACTCATAAAGATGTAAGTTGTTAGACGCATGAAATACTGAAATTTTAACCATTTGCTTCTTTCAGATTCCTGGAAACATCAACGACAAGGAGCAAGAAGGTTCAATTGCTACTGCTGAAAACGTTGATTCTTTAAATTGCAGTGACAATGATGAGGAGGACATACCACTGAGTTCTTTGAGGAAATTACAAAAGTCTATAAATGACAAATGTAATCAAATTGAGGAAGCTATCATAAAGACTTTTGGAAGGTGAGTGATGCTGGGATGGACATTACAATATTTGATAAAAATATACCATTTTCTAATAGAAATCAAGTTGAGAAGGAGTTGGATGTGTCATTTTTAACGTGTGACTCTGAAAAAGCGCTCAGTGCAATGACACATCAATGTAATACATGTTTAAAGAATTTTCCTAATTCGACCATGCTGCAAAAACACAAACGCAATAGGCACAAGGAGTCGGAGATAGATAAAAGCGATAACAGGCTCTCTAAGGATGAAAATTCACTAGACAATTGTGATTTGGATCTAGACCAATTGGACTCTAGCAGCAGGTTTATTGTTAAATGTTAGGTCAAGTAAAATAAAACTAATTTCCTTTTGTTTCCAGGGATCCAACGTCCTCGGAGAAAGAAGAAACTGATACTATTGTCGAAAAGAACAAAACAAGAGCACCCCATCCATGTCCACAGTGCAAAGCCACATTTCGTTTTGAAAAACAAATGGAACGACACATGAAAAAACACACCGACGCTCATCGTTTCGTGTGTATGGTGTGCCATGATCGCTTCAAATATCCTTTTATGCTGCAAAAACACAACGAAAAACATCATCCCGATGAAAATAAGAATAAAACCCGGTTAATGGAAGATAAAAAGGAGCCGCTAAATAAATCATATACCTGCAACCATTGTCCAGCTGCATATACAAATGTGGGAGGACTAGCACAGCACATGAGTAAAAAACATAGCGAAATAGTGCCCTTCAAATGTGACAAATGCAACAAGACCTTTGTGGTTGAGGAACATTTGAAGATACACACCAATCGCCATATGGGCATTAAAAATTTCCAATGTGAACTTTGTGATAAATGTATGTAGCAAAAGTGTTTCCAATTCCAATACTAATCAGTGTTCCCCTTTCAGCATTTTCCTTTAAATTCGCCATGAAACAACATATGAGGATACATACAGGAGACTTGAATTATCTTTGTACGTTGTGTGGTAAGAAGTTCTATAGGCCCAGTAACTTAAGACAGCACATGCAACGCCACGGTGATGATAAACCCTATAGCTGTCCACATTGCCCGAAACGTTTTAAATGCCCCTCAGATCGTTACATACATTTGATGTCCCACCAGCAGGGTAAAAATCATGTATGCTCAACATGTGGGGCAAGATTCTCTCGAGTGGATACGTTACATCAGCATGTCAAAGTTCTGCACTCAGGCGAGAAACCCTACAAGTGTGATCAGTGTCCAATGGCGTAAGAGAAATTTGGATTTTTGTTTTTTTTTTGTAATTTTAAATTTATTATGTTTTCTTTTCTTAGATTCCCACGTCTAATGAATCTCAATCGTCATCGTCGTACCCACACGGGAGAGAAACCATATAAGTGTAGGTATTTAAAATGATATTCTGAAAAACTATGATAATTAGCAATTGATAACATTTGTAAAGAAAAAGGGAGCAATTGCATCTATCTCTCCTGTAATGTTAGATCCAAATATACTTTGTTAATTGTAATATATACAGGGTGAGATAAAAAAACTGCAACAAAATCAAACGCCATAATTTTTAAATTTTATTGAATTAAAGCAAAAATGTCGGAAATAGCATCAAATTTTAGAATAAGTTTAGATTTGTTCGAATTGGTCACCTTTGGCACGAATTATGGCCTTGAAACGGCCAATCACGATGCTCGAATGTTTCTCTGCGGTATTTTGGCCCATTCCCGGCGAAGCGCTTGCTTGAGATGATCGACACTTGGGTATTTTTTAGAGCCAACCTCGCTTTTCAAAATACTCCAGACACAATAGTCCAACGGATTGGTATCCCGAGATTTTGGTGGCCATTGTGCGCTGGAAATGAAGCGAGGAACCTCATTTTGTAAGCATTCTTGGGTGGCTCATGCTGAGTGCGATGATGTTGAGTCCTGTTGCAAAGTCCAAGGTCTGCGGCCAAAATGTTCGTGCCCAAGGCTTTAATACACCCGCGATTATATTCGACATTTATTCTGATGCCACGGTCGATTAATACGACTGGAGAGTGACTATCGGCTGTTGTGGCGGCCCACACCATCACCATGGGCCGGCGCTTGAGTTCTGGTTGCCAACCGAAGGTGCACATTTTCAGCTGACCTCTTTGGCAAGTATTGTTTGTTTACAAATTGCTGGACAACGAATGTTTTCTCATCGGAGAAAACCAAATTCGGCAGTTCACCACTTTCGGCCAAGCGAAACAATTCCTTAGCTCTTTTGAGTCTATTTTCTTTCTGTTGCGGTGTAAGTTCTTGCACTTTTTGGAATTTCAATGGCTTTACCCCGAGCTCATTTTTCAATATTTGCCGAATGGAATATGGCGATATATTCAGCTCACGAGCGACGTGGGTTACGATAAAGTCGCTTTTTTACTTTTCGAACTATTTCTGCTGATGTTGCTGTTTCCTTCCGTCCACTTCCTTGACGTCAGGCTACGCTATGCAGTATCACGGTAACAAGCGATGATGGTACAAACACAAAAGATTTATTCACATTTAAATACTGGAGTGCTCTAACGATAGCCACTTGTAGTTTTCCAGCCAAATATAAAGAAATCACGCTTGAATTCCATCGCGAATAACTTTTTTTCTGAAAAATTCTCTGAATTTTCCTGATTCCAAATGCTTTTGTACGTTTGTAAACAATATAATGAGATATCACTGGAATAATTTTACCAGCTGTTGGACGAGTGGCTTAGAAATGACAGCAGTCTGAAGTTGTTTGTAGTTTTTTCATCACACCCTTTATTTTTTTTAATCTTTTATGAGGCCCATAATCCACAGCTGTGGCTCAATTCTCATTCCATGATCTTTTGAAATGAAAACTTTT